CACCTAAAATTCAGTCATGTATTATTTACCTTCTTCCCAAATGCATTCACTTCAATATCAAGATTCCTCACAGAACAAATTCATTTCTCTTTCCTCATTGCCAAAATGTTTTGGTTTTTTTTCTGTACAGTTCTGAAACTTCTACAAAATTTAACTTAGTAAGAATCTCTACATGCAGTTTCTGTGGCTCCCTTATTTACATTTGCCTTTTAATATATTCATGCTTTTTCTTTTCAAACTTCATCCTTTCAAACTAACTTTCCCTTCCTCTGTTCTGCTGAGTTCGCATCATTGTCCCAGTCATGCAAGAAAACAGAAAGATATGGCTTAATTAGACTTCAGCTTTATTAATTTAATGTATCTGGGGAGTATCCAGCAGCAATTTCTACAATCCAGGTCATAAATTTTTCATTAATTATTTTCTCTTATAGGAGGACTGCCATCAGCATCCAGTTGTTCTGGTAACAGGCCTTGACAGATGAACCATCACTGCCTTTAAATGACAGTAAGGAAATTTTCTCTTTATGATAGGCATAGAGATCCCTGCTTCCAGTTATCACCTCCTTTTGAGGATGTTTTCAATTTTGTCCTTCTCCAGCAATGGCTTACCATGCAAACAGATCCTATGTGGCAGATCAAGTACCTGAGATATATTTTAACATATAAGAGAGACATATGATAGAAGGGACAATTTTAGCTCTATGCCCTACACAGATTTACAAGATTGGATAGCTGATCTGAGCTATCCACAGAGGTTTCCTCCACATGGATGGCAGATCTCCAAAGTCTGTGAAGGAAGGTGAAGGTGATGCTTAAAAGAGTTAGACATCATTTCCCAAGGTAGCGTACTGAATGAACAAAACAAAACAAAAAACAGAAGAGGATTCTGGATCCAATTATGGCATTGCAGATTTCACCTCAGAATCTCCCTTTTGCTCATCCTTATACTCTCAGGGCTTCTTCCTGTTTTCATGTTTAATGGAAAATATTTATTATGGATTTGCTTATCATTCTATTTAATTGGTATTAAGAGGTATTCACTGTTATGATCCTTTAAATATTTACATTATGCTTTGGATAAAAATTTATTATGTGATATAAAATATAATGCAAAAAATCCGGAAGGAACAGAAATGACAGAAATGGAAAAGTTGTGGGTAGTGGTTGTTGATTTCTTAGCATGCAAAGACACTTCTCAAATACAATACTCAATAAAAATATTTAAAATATGCATATAGTTCACACATATTACATATTATATAATATTGGATAAATATGTTATATGAGAGATGCTTCAAAAGTAATGCTTCCTATTTGTTCAAGTGGCCTACAAAGTCAGAGGCGAACACTGTTGGTATGGCAGTAGAGGTTGAATCTTCCCACCAATATTCTGTTACATGTCGTTGTCATGTGACAGATGGCAGCAGAGGGACAGTCTGACAAAACGGTGTCTGACATGGAAGTGTATATGAATCAAAATTCTGTCACTGAATTCCTCCATGCAGAAAAAATGGCACACATTGACATTCATTGACACTTGCAGGGTGTTGATGGAGACCAAGCAGCGGATGGGAGATAATGAGGAAATGGGTGGTGCATTTCAGCAGTGGCAACAGAAGGGTGAAAGACAAGCCATGTTCAGGATGGCCATGCAGATTTTTACAAGCGTGTATGCAGGTTTCCATTCACCAATGGCCAAAATGCATAACTACTGCAGTGACTATGTTGAAAAATAGTGTTATTGAGAATTTGCCCTGCCAAACAGTTCTTGTGCTCTTTGTAGCTGGTGTAGCTTCCATGGAAATAAACAGGAAGCATTACTTTCAGAGCAACCAATATGTAATGCATATAAAATAAAATATATACCTACATATAAATTCATTGGCACCTGACTCAAATTGTGATGTGAATAATTGAAAATTAGCATGGCAGGGGAAGAAATAACCAGGAAGATATGAAAGGAACCTCTGAGCTTGTATTCTGCTCTTTGGCGTTGTCTTCTTATATGTAGTTTTCTAATCAAACTGAAAATAGAAATGGAAAGCATAATGTCATGGTTTTGTGATTTTTGGTTTTCGGTATTCCACATCATAACATCATGTGGGGCACTGGGAGTTTAACTGTTAATGCTCAAGCTCTGGGTACCTGCCTGGAAGAGAAGAAGAACTACATACCCCAGGGGACTTTGTGGTCACAGAGAGTCTCGAGATACAACTCCTGGCAAGGTCACCTGATGCGCTCTTCTTTGTCTGCTCTTCGTCGGCTCTCCTCCCTTTTCTCCCTGCTGCTCAACTGGACTGCGCATCTCACCTCAGTGTTGTGGTGAGGCCTACCCACCTTTCGGACATTCTCTCTCTCTCATTATATTTGATTTATTAGCTTCAAATTTAATTATATTGTATTATAGTGTGTTATCTTGTATTCCGATAATATATTTAGTAAATTAGTTTGTTTCTCCTCAGATCGTTGCCGCTGTTTTTAATTATTTTGGGGTCCCCTGTTCCCTTTTTCCGGAGGCGTGGATCTGCAGATCCCTCCGCTTCACTAGTCACGGAACCGGGCCAAACCAGCCCGTAAACCGTTGACACATAATCTAGTAAAGTAATGAGTCTTGGAACATACTGCATGATACAGAATATTCCTGACCTACCACAACATTGCAAGTGAGAGAGAAAAATACTGAAGCATATTTTATTATTCAAAAATCCGAAGGCTATATATTCTTTACTAATTCAAAGAGATATTATTTTATTTAATTTTTCACACTGACCTATAGTAAAACCATTGCAAATGTTCTTTTCAGCATGCTGAAAATCTGTAGCAGAGGCTTCACAGGATTTGCAAGAGATTTTAAATGATGTCTGAATCCGACTTCCAACTTTATATTTGAACTAAGTGTTAGTGGTTTTAATGGAGGAAGGTCTTTTCAGTATGCAATAAAACTAAGAATGTAATTAAATCTCACGTGTTATAAAAAGTATAGAATTAAAACCAAGCAGTAATAATCTAGGCTTCTAATATCCAGCACCTAAGCAAATTTCCTTCTTAAATTAATAGTAACTGTACTTGTGTACCTCAAAGGTCTACTGAATTGTGACACATCTTTCTGGTATATACAGAGAATCTCAATAGGAAGAAAAATGCCATTAGGAAGTGATTTCCACTCTACACTCAGTATGCAAGATATTTTTGCAATGTTTCTTCGACTTTTTAGTCTGTTGTCTGGTAATAAACTTTAGTTCTGCTAAGACTGACTAAAGGAACTGGGGCTGTTTAGTCTGCGGAAGAGGAAGCTGAGGGGAGACCTTACTGCTCTCTTCAAATACCTGAAAGGTGCTTACAATGAGAGTGGGGTTGGTCTCTTCTCACAGGTGACAGATGACAGGATGAGGGGAAATGGCCTCAAGTTGTGCCAGGGTATGTTTAGGTTGGATATCAGGGAACACTTCTTTACAGAAAGGGTTGTGAAGCACTGGAGTAGGCTCGCCAAGGATATGGTTGAGTCACCATCCCTGGATGTGTTTAAAAACCATTTGGATGTGGTGGTCAGGGACATGATTTAGCAGAGGGTTGTTAGAGTTAGGGTAGTATGGCTAGATCATGGTTGGACTTGATAACCTTTGAGGTCTTTTCCATCCTGAACAATTCTGTGATTCTCAGAGCAAAAGTAAGAGCACAGTACCAAATGCTAGGCTTTCTCCATTTAAGATACAGGGAACTGTTACACTATGATAACACAAGGCTCAGCTTCATATTTTCTCCCTTCTATAGTTTTCTACCTCATCACTATCTTTTCATTGTACACCCCTGTCCCTCTCCATTTCCTGAGAACCAGGACAAGTTCAACTTCTCATTTCTGACACGGCCAAATTCCATTTTGCTGTTCTAGCTAAAGCAAGTCACGTCAGTTCTGCATTTAATCTCTTGTAAAACACATAATCTTTAGTCTTTAAGCATATAGAAGCTTACCTAGTAATAGTAGTGTTTTGTGAGGCACACTTCCGTAGTGCAAACGGAAAAAATTACAAATTTGAAACCCTGGGTCTATAGTTCTTACATTTTGACAGTTACCAGCACGGGAGGAGAAACATTCTTGAGTAATAGTGACATCTTCATATACCCTGTATAAACCAGCTTAGCAGAGTACAAATTTGTCCTGGATATGTAAGGAAGAATATCAGCAACTTTCTTTTCACTTGGGCTAGCATTTAAACATATTTTCCTGACATCTTTCTTTCTGTTTTCAAAATTGTTGGAGATTAATGACTGTGGAAAGTGAGTGAGCAGCAAGAAAACTAAAAAGAAAGAAAGAAAGGGGGAAAAAACAAGTAGAATGAAAAAAATCTTCTTTGGAAAGGAGGACTGGCATTTTTCTTTAATTCTTTAATTATCAGTGGGTACACTGATAAAGAGTCCTATTTCAAAACTGTGACTTAATGACAAGTTGATGTGTAATACTTTGCCTGAAGACCCAGACAACATCGTTAAGAGAGAGACAAGTAAATTGTAGGTAAGAAATAAAAATAAATGTTTCCACACCTCTGACATAACTGTAAAAGTTAAAAGGCTACTGATAAATTGGAGACAAATGACTATTGTTCTGGCAGAATACGAAATCTTAACTCATTTTCAGATAACAACATTGCCAACTCTTGCAATTTTATTATTAGTCTCATGATATTTGATGCTTTTCTTAAAGACCCAATACCTAGATTTATGCTAATTAAGAGGCTATTAACTTTCATTAAAAATATCATGTTTCCAGTGTTCTCAGCCCTGATAACTAAGCAGAAAAATATCAGAACACTTCCTAAAACTGTAAATGGTAGAAATCAAACAAGTTATTAAAAAAAAAAGCAAAATAAAAATGAATTCGGGAAGTTTTACTCATGATTTCTGCATATTTGGCAATGCTATATCAAATATAATTAAGTTATAGATTTATTAGATAATAAAAATTGCAAACCTGATAAGAAGATTCTGTTCTAAAAAAGCAGAACATGATGAAAATCAGCCAAAAATGAAATTGAGAAAGATTTCAATTAGCATAGGAAATTTTTACCTTTTGTTGCCTTTAATGAATGGTTCTTCATAGCTTTCCAACAACAACAACAGAAGACTAATTTTAAAAACTTGTTTTCAGAAACTCTCTTGCTCTATTGGCAGCAAACCCAACATACAATTATAATTTTCACCTCTTAGGGAACCATGCCTTGCATGTTGTTGAATTCCTGTCCATCACCATCTTAAAATCCTCAGGCTTCGGGGATTTGACATTGTTCAAGTAGCATAAGGCCACACTCCTAAAAAGACAAATTGAATAAGCATTCTTTCTATTAATTCCAGGTTTATTAAGTTGTAGTCAGCCAGTCGCCAAATGCAATCATTTACTCTGATCCCAAATGCCTTTTGATAGGGACAGTCACTAAAATAATATGTCATACAAACCAACCCTGCTTTTTGCTACACAGCCTTTTCTGACATGGTTATAGACATGTGAATTGTTCAAACATCATGCAAGTTATGAAATCAGTTCATGTTGTTTTGACAAAGGGATGGGAGCTCTGGAAACAAACTATACTACGTATTTCAGTCCACTGAAATGAGTATGACCTCAACAGAATGTGGAGCTTTATTGAGGTTTACAAGATATCAAACCCATTACCTACATTGTTTGGTACTTTTAAAGCTTCAAAACAAATAAACAAACAAGCACACATACAAACAGACACACGTAGACAAAAACAACAACAACAACAAAAAAAATCAAAGAAATACCATAAAAACACTACAAATCATGGACCTCTTCCTGTCAAATGAGTCCCTTTTTCTGTTGGTACTTCTCCTGCAACATTTTGAGTCATTCAAAATCTGTAATTTATATTCACCATAGTTAACTAAAATACAATCTAAGTTTCCAGAGCATACACAAATCATTTTAATTATCATAGCAATATTCCACTGCCTGCACTCTCTGGGCACATCTGTTTTTGCTGCACTGACACCATAGTTGGTCCTTACCACATGACTTTCTGGACATGGCCACAGAAAGGCTGAGGTTGGAAGGGACCTCTGGAGATCATCTGGTCCAGCCCTCTGCTCAAGCAGGGCCATCTAAAGCTGGTTGCCCAGGACCATGTCCAGTCAGTGTTTGAAGATCTCCAGGAAGGAAAAATAGTCACAGTGTAAGTTCTTCATCTATATTTGCTTATCAGTGCCTGAAAGCCTTATAAGACTTAAACCAGAGAAATCTGGTAATTCCATGACCAAAACCAGATAGCTAACTAAAAAAAAATATCATAATCATCAAATCTGGCAGCTAAATCAAAACTCCAGTTCTGTAGGTTGTTGTAGCTATATTGTCAACAGAGTACTGCTGAGATAAAGCCCAAATTCCCAGCAAAACATCATAAGCTCTTCTATTTCTTTCCCTCTTTGAGCAGTGTTTTCTTACACAAGACTCCACGAGGGAATGGGTTAATGTAGCTGACCTAGAACAGTTTTGCTCTCTCTCTCTCTCTCATAGGAGACAGGGCCATAAGAGACAAAGGCACTTGATCTCTTGGAAGGGATCAAGTAGTAAAACTGTGCTTTGTGAAAAAGGTTTACAAAGTTTAAATCTCAGCTTAAATCTAAGATTTCAAAAATCATCCTTTTCCTGTCCTTTTATCAATTAGAAATAAGACGTACATAGATGAAAATTAGATTTCTTGAGATTTTTTACTAAAGAAATAAAGATAGAAAGTGCAAGAATTGTCTGAATTATCCTAGAAGCTATAAATATTTCAGCACTGTGAAAGAAATAACTTGAGAAAGTTCCTTCTCCATGCTATTTTTATGAGAAGATACACTGATTTTGTTTTAAAGTGAAAATTCTTCACAAAAATATTTGACCTTCTGAGCAGCTTAAAAACAAATCACACTGTATCTTTAACAATTACAGCATTTCCTGAGAAGCTGAACATTGTAAGCATCTTTCTTATATTTTTTAAAGTGTTTAGGGGAGGTCTTAAGAATTATTATTTGTTACAGTGACTGAAAATCAAGTACACAAAAAATAGTGGAACATTTGGGAAATTAAATATTGGCAAGAGAAAAAACAACAAGCTTTCTGTAACAGAAAATTGTGCCTCACTAATGCATTAGAAAGTTCTGAAAATATTAATAAGACAGTAGATGAACATGACCCAGTGGACATAATTTACTTGGATTTCAAAAAGCTTTAGAAAAGGTCCCTCATAAAAGAATATTAAAGATAATAAATAACAATGAAGTAAGGGGCAAAGGCTTGTCATGGATTAAAAAGTGATTAAATGATAGGAAATAAATAGTTATAACCTCAAAGAATAGATATATTAATAACTGTGTGTCTCAGGGGTTAGTGCTACAATTGTGTTAATATATTTTTTTCATCATTTGGAAGAGTAAGTGGATTGCAAGGTGGCCGAGTTTGCTGATGGCAATGTACTATTGAACACGTAAGCACTTATCTAACCTTCTAGTCATCGTGTCAGTCTGAAAAGCAGTCTGTACCAACCTGAAAATCACTGAGGGCAGGAATCCCAGTGAGTATCACAACAGGATTTCAGCAGCAGTGAGACGAAAGTTAAAAGTAATAATTTGTCTGCATATCAGATGATCAGCTTATTTCAAGACTCCAGTAATGACTCGTTACTTTCTGGCTAATCTTAGGAACTGAGACAGAGAAAAGTGCTCACTTGGCCACCATACTGAAATTTTTCTATGACATGCCCTCTGTAGACAATCTCCTGTAAAATCTGGAGTTTTTCTGCACAGTTGAAGAAAGTCAGAATCATACTTATAGGACTCAACAATCACACATTAATCCTATGAACAGAATATGTTTTTTATTTATTTCATTTATGGTTAACTTTGAATGTTTATTACCCATAGCATCTTGAACGATCTCACACAATAGCTTTTCAATTTACAATAGAAATCAAGGAAAGACGTTAGCACCAGAACTAAATATTCTGGTTAGAGATTTCACTATTCATAAACTATCCCTATTGCCCATCAGTAAGGATCAAGTATTTCAAGTCTTAGTCCCAGGAGTTTCATATCCCCAAAGAATTGCACTGGTTGATCCATCAGAGAGTTTACTGGAAAAGATGACTATTGTAGTGATGTTCAAAAAAAGCAGTTCCATTCAGCATCAGAAAACAAATAGCCCTACCCATTACTAACAGTAGCTTCCTACTGAAAACAGTAATAACTGAGGAGTTGGAGTGGATCCAGGAGAAGGCCATAAAGATGATCAGTGTGCTAGAGCACCTCTGCTATAGGGACAGGCTGAAAGAGTTGGGATCTTCAGACTGGAGAAAAGAAGGCCCCAGGGGGACCTTATAGTGACCTGCCAGTACCTGAAGGGGGCCTACAGGAATGCTGGGGAGGGACCTTTTATAAGGGCAGGTAGCAACAGGATGAGGGAAAGTGGCTTTAAACTGGAAGAAGGTAAATTTAGACTAGCTATTACAAAGATATTCTTTACTGTGCGGGTTGTGACACACTGGAACAGGTTGCCCAGAGAGACTGCAGATGCCTCCTCCCTGGAGGTGTTCAAGGCCAGGCCGGATGGGGCTTTGAGCAACCTGGTCTATACGGGGTTGGAACTAGATGATCTTCTTAAACATCCCTCCCAGTCCAGACCATTCTATGATTTTATGGGTATTCAATGCTAGATTCAAAATAATTCACAAAGAAGCCTTTTTTTTTTTTTTTCCTAATTCTATTTCTTTTTCCCCAAATATAAAGAATCAGACCCAATTGCGTTAATCTCGCACAGGACAACATCTCCAAAAAAGAAAGGTGAGGATTTGCTGTAAATGTGCATTGCTAGTAAATGTGAAATGCATTACATTATTTCAGATACAGAGTGAAATAAAACTTGATCTACTGAAAGAGCTACTGAAAGAGAAAAGTTACCTTCCACATCTTTCCATGAAATGAGAAGTAACAATAATCACCCAGAAAAAAATCTCTGGCCAAACAAAGACCCAGCCTTTGATACAAATCATATCCCTTCAGAAACAACATCGTGAAAAACTGTGAAAAACCTGAAGAATTATCTGATTACTTTGTGGGAATCTTTTGAACTATTTTGCCATGGCTTCATTTGTAAGCACACCACTATCTTTTGAAAGGCCAGCCATTTAATCCATTAGGTACTTCTCTGTTATAACAAATATCATGGCAGAAATTCAGTTCGTGCACAGATTGACTTGCAGCAACTTGGCTTGTAATTATAACAACATAATGAGGGATCCGACTATGGCTGAAGACCTTCATACACATTATGAACGATATATTTTCTAATGCATTAAGTTTAATCAAGCAGTTGATTTCTGAATTTGCAAAAATAATGAAATAAATAAGAGATCTTAATGTGTCTTTATTTTTACATTTAATAATACATTAGATAGAAATTCTACTTCACTGTCAGCTGGTTGAGAAATACAGCATGTTGCACTATAATCACAATAGAATATAATTACAAATATCAAGGGAAATTTAGACTACAAGGCAAAATGAAAAAAAAAAAAAAAGAATTTGACCAGGGAACATTAAATTAGTAAAACATTAAAGTATTTTAAAAGAAACTTATTGTCTGTTATAACTAAATTATTTGCATGGCTAAAATGAAGAGACAATCTCAGTATTTGCGGTTATGAATGTTACATGGCAAACAGAAACTGCAGAGAGAAATAGCAGTGCTAAGGTTACAGTCCTATGTTTCTCCTACATATTTGCACACTGAAATTAATGCAATCCCTATAATTTTTATTTAAAGCAATGAAAGAGGAATTTATTATTCATCCTCCTTTATCTTTAGTTTCTAAGAAACAACACAGTGAGAGGTTACCAATATAGCATGATATTACATGGCATATCATGGCATATGCTGGGAACTCTTTTTATGTAGAAGTCAATGGGAGCAGAGTTAGGCAGGTGCTAAAAGCTCATGAAAAATCTCTCCAGAATGACTTTCTCAGCATCAAATAGTATGCCTGTAGAAGAACTGGGATTGGAATTACACTCAGATCTTCTAAATTCCAATTAAGTGCCTTAATCACATGACTTACTGGAGATATCCTAAATGAATTCAAACATGTTCCCATCATTTCTTCACCTGCGGACCCAGGAAGTCTGGTCAGAAGCAATTTGAGACAGCTGCAGATATCAGCTATCTCCTTGTCAGCTGTTTTCTAGAAAATACATGCATGAACTATCATTCCCAAAGAATAGAAACAAACTAAGAGGGAATTCATCAATAATAAAAAAA